AGGCAAGACAAGAAAACTACCCCACTACTGCTTGCTCTTCATTCTGCCTTAAAAGAGAAAATGTCTGTTCTGACTTAGAGGAGAAAACGTCTCCCAAATCCCCTTAAACTGAGCTACAACGAATGCATCCATGTCTGCTGAATAGCAGGGCATTGTGATGACTGCTAATGCAGCTTTCAGGATCTAATATAACCTTTGTTGTTTTTATTCTTCTTCAGAGTCATGGAACAGAAGTATTAACCTAATCTCTCCTTGTTTGCCTAGATCATACGATGTAAAGTTACAGATCAGTTTTGGCTATGTTTTAGGGAAGATTATATGAACCAGAGAAGCAGAGGCAGCCAATCTGCAGAGAGGATAATGTAAAAAGAGCAGAGAAGAGCAATGAAGAAATATGATAGGGAGTCTTAGGGAGTCTGAGGTCTTGTTCTTTTACTCTCCCATGGATGCATCAACAAAGTCGTCAGACATATTCTTCCTCTGTTACCTTAGGCATCTTTTTGAGCAAGTGACACTCAACCCAATTGGGCTATCATGGGAGAGGAAAGAAATCACCTAAACTGGACTGTATAGACTTGCTTGGAGAAGGTACCACATGTAATGGTCTTGGGCACTGGTTTAAGCCTGACACAATAATATGTGCTGAGTAAATATCTCTTGAATGAATAAATGATCATTTCATATGTAGCAGTACGTAAGGGTAGAAGTGGTGGAAATGATTGAAGTAGTACATGAACTGCCTGGAGGGCAGCTGCCATTCTATGAGGAGGCATATCAAGCACAGATACTTGAAAACCTATAGAAAGACAATGTAATATGGTGGTTCGGGGCATGTGTGTTAGAACCAGACTCAAATTGAACCCCATCTTTACGATTTGCAAGTATATGATCTTAGAAAGGTAAGTAACCCCTCAAGGTCTCAATTTCCTCATTTGTGAAATGAAAATAATTAGAGCATCTACCTCAGATAATCTTTTTGAAGATTACAGGAACTAAAAATTAATATATGTGTGCTTAGAACAGTGCCTGGACAAAGTAACCACTTTATGAGGGTTAACTGTTATTTTGAAAACTTTCATATCTATTACTAAATATTTAGACAACAGTACTAATCAACAAGTTTTGCATTATTCTAATTTTTTTCATGTCCATTTGTCCTGTCTTTCAGAACGATTTCTATAGCATTGAGCAACAAAGAAGATAGGAAAGGATCTCTGAGACTGTCACTGTCCAGGTAAGGGACCAAGGCCCAGAATTAGCAAGGGAGTTGTCCAAGAGTATGTCTCTCAGGGCAGAACAAGGCCTAGAATCCATATCTTGCTTTATGTTATCCTCAAACATTATAACCAAAGAAAAGAATTAAAAATGAAGTGTATGTAAAATGGATACCCATCATTGAAATGCTATAATGTTTAGTATGGGACTTTAACGCTTGATGTTTTAAGCTCATGCTTGGCAATAGTAATCAAGAGTTATATCCCTCAGTAATTTTTAGGAGTTTTTGTAAAAAAAAAAATTGTTATACACATTAACTGTAGAAAAGCCTGAATTAAAAAAAAAAAAAAAAAGAAAAAGAAAAAAGAAAAGCCTGAAATTTTTTTTCTAGTTACACAACTTACAGAAAATTGATGAAGAATGTTTAGAGTAATGTAAAGGTCACTGTGACATCCCAGAACCTAAAACTGTAGTTTTTATTAAAAACAAGCAAACAGACAAAAAACCCAATTGGTTTTCTACAACCAATTATTGGGTACTCTAAGAAAAAATTCAGTTATAAAACAATTTTGAGCGCTGTTCAGACTAATTATCATTATAATGTAAGCTGTTGCTTTTGTGGCCTGGCAGCATCCTCTAAACTGGACAGGTGTTTAGAGTTCCTGCATGTCAGTGTGATGCTTATCTTCAATAGCCACACCTCAGGAAAGGAAACTTCCACTGTTGTTCCCTATTGTCTAAACTGTTAAGCAACTATAAATCCAAGACATTCATTTAGTTGAGAATAGTGTTTTTATCACCAATTCTATTTCTCTGTTTTTATAGTGCATACAAATCACAAAGTATTTAAATACAGTTTTCTTTGGAGATATTTCATACCTCAAAAATACATATTTAAGTTTAAAAGTTGGCACTAATCACTAAAGAACAACTGAGACTCAGCCAGGTTTCAAAGAAGTCATACAAGATTCCCTGAATTGAAAGAAAAAATTGTAATTTCTTTATGGTTTTAAAATTCTGAAACAGCAAGTTGACCGCTGATTATTTAAATTTTAGCTCGTAACAACTCTTTCAGTATTGAACTGAATATGTGTGAATATATATTCTATATGGTCCAGAAAAATGAAACTTACTGCCTAATTATCTCTTGTACTCTATATTTTTTTCAATAAGCCTTTCAGTTACATCACAAATTACTCTAATAACTTGCTGTAATCTTCAGAAATAATAGTTCATCAAGAAAATGTACTGAAAGAGAAGGTATACCATAATTCAACTATAACAAATCTCTCTAGAAAGAGATAAAAGTTTTCTTTTATCTAAAACATTTTAGTAACCTAAGAATCTTTTATTCTAAAAACTATGAAGAAATTAACTCATGTGACCAGTTTAATAGTAATATTTACTTATACAAAGAGAGAAGCCTTCCATTTTACCATTAGGAACTATAAAGAAAAACAATAAAAATATGAGAGCTGGTAGATATTGTGTTAACTGAGAAAGAAAAAAAGAGCTTCTGTTAGGGCAAACCTCTTGATATGTTCAGTACTATTTTTCAAAAGAGTCTCTTTCAAATTTATTTTTGAAATCTCCTTCTCAAATACAATATTAATAGGAGGCTATAGCTGAAGAAAAAGGGAAAAATGCCCTCCAGCCGACTATCAGATGTTTGAGAGTTTTCCTCCATATCATTCTGCTCTGTGGTGAATAGCATTGTTCAATAGTTGATAATATGATATTTTCTAAAGACAAAGAAAAAGTGGGTTAGAGATGAGTTTCACATGTATCTGAATATTTGATTTCTATTTTAATCTAATGTGAAGACGTAGTGTTTACATATACTTAGGAGTGATTTTCTTAAAACTCTTCCCAGATTACATATGTTGCTGTACTTCAATGTGTTTATAAAGAATAGGAATTAAATTTCAACTTTAAATGAGTTTGAAGCTTAAATAGTTTCCAGATAGTAGATGAGCTAGTTGGAAGATGATCTAGGTAAAGCTTTTAAACAGTGGTCACTTTGTTCTTTTGAGGAAAAAATGTGGTTATATTAAATGGAAGATACATGTATTTTCTTTTAATTTAAAACTTCTATATTCAATATATAGGCTGATTATTTCTTTCCAGTTGCATGTAATTTTATTAACTGTGTAATTTTAAATAATGTTTATAAAATGAATTGCATCAAATAGACTTGTTGAGGATCATTACTGTATAGACAGACAGGTAGTTTTAGTTTAAATCTCTAATGTTGCTTACAAATTTCTAGTCCATCAAGCAATACACATGTGTTCTGTTTAACAAATCTGCTGCAGAATAATTACAAGTTGTTGGTGGAGATCTTAAAATAAGGGATCATCTCCTTAATACTTCAATTTTATTTAAGAGAAGCTTTAAAATTACCTCAGAATGATATTTGTGTCTCACTTAATTTAATTAAAATGTTCTATTTCTTCTACAAGAATAAAATGAGGCACTTGTTCAATCCTGAAATTCTTAGATTCATTGAAAACAAAGTTACCATCTCTACCTAAAAGCCCTTCTTACATTTATGGGTGAGCATTAATGGATAGTGTAAATAAACAGATGCACTTACCTGGAATTAAAGTTGAAAGCGCCGAAAATGCTTGAGAAAGTTTCAACAGATATAAAAGAAACTCAAACAGCAGCATCCACTACCACCGGCTCAGGCGTTTTGGCTTCACGAGCGGCAGCAATACCAGTTCTGGCCCAGTACCCTTGTGTTATGTAACATCTTATTAATATTAGCCATCAAACTGCTACCAAGCTGGTGAGGCACTAGAGGGCAAGAGTGTCACATGCAAGACCCGTCGCCAAGGGACAGGCTTTGGTACCACTTCGGGAAGACAGATGCTAACTAAGCTGATAAATAACACGATGCCTGAACGCAACAGCGAACTTGTAATGTTCCTCAAAGAATATTTTAAATGTCAATTTTCTGACTAGCTGCAGAGTTAAAGGTTAATAAATATGCATAAGCAAATAACCACACCATGCAAAACTTTCGGGATTATATTTATAAACCTACAGTCATCCGGGAGGCTATTTTTTCCATTGTCTAAATAAACTTATTTAAAACATAAGAGGAAAGGCTAATTAAATAATAACTAGTGACGGTTTCAGGACCCCTTCAAACCGCGAGAAACTTGTCCTGATCGAGAGTGCGCATTCTGGAGTCCGCATTCCGAGCCGCCGGGGTCGGGGTCCTGGGCGAGGACCGGCCCCGTCCGTCTTCCACGGTGATTACCTCGGGCTGCAGGCGTCCGTGGGATCCTCCTTCCCGGGGTGCTCCGCCTCAGCTACTCCCGGGGGCAGCCCCGCGGTCCGGGTGGCGTATGGAGGGGACTCAGTGCTGGGAGCCGGGCGGGGGCGAGGCGGACGGCCCTTCCCTCGCCCGCCCCGGGGCCCCGCGGACGCCTTCGGTGGGCTACCAGGGCTGGTCCAGAGCGCGGGCGGCGCCCGGCTGGCAGCGGCTGCGGGGCGAGCGCGGCGGGCGCGCCGGGGACTCGTGCGCTCGCTCCGACGCGCACCGCGTCCCCGGGACCCGCCCGGCCGCGCCGCCGCCGCCGCCCTCCCGCCGCCTCTCCGCTCCCGGCCCGCGCGCGCGCCCGGCTGGAGAAAGGGTGGGAACGGGGAGGAGAGCAGGGGTCTGGAGGAGCCGCCAGCCGCCCGGCTCGCGGCCAGCCAGGGTCTACCCTGAGGATCCGCCAGCCTTGGCCTCTGCTTGGTGACCCCGGGCGTCCCGCCCCGGCCGGCGCGCAGAAGGTGGGGACCGCCAAGGATGATACTGGTCGCGCCGCCTAGGAAGGGGGTGCATCGTTCCCTCTGGTCTTGCTCCTGCTGGTGGTCGGGGTGACACGACCTGGCAGCAAGTGGCGGGCGGCTTCCAGGTTGTAAACCAGAGTTGTTGTTGCCTCTGTTTGCCGGCTTTCCGAAAGACCAAGTGTTCCAGTTCCTGAAGACAAGTGGAAGACCAACGATTGAAGCGACATTTTGGATACAAGGTGTGAGGTTGCACACCTTCAAAACTTAAGTCGAGAATCGAATGATTTTTTTAAAATCATATTTTGATCCACTAACATAGCATATGTGAGAGTTTAACAAGTCGGGGAGGTTGGGGCTTCTAATGATAACTTGTAGTGGCTGTCTGTGGTCTTTTGTCCCAACTACTCACACCTGTTTATGGAAGCAGTACACCTGTTATTTTGGAGGTTCCAACAACACAGCCTCACCCGTTAGCCCATTTGCTTCAGATCAATAGCTACTCTCACTCACTGGGTGACCCAAGACTCAAGTCTCACCATTGGTGGTGTTGTGTACTCCCGGTAGCTGGGATTAGTTTACAGAAAAGTATGTGACCGAACCTGGCCAATCAGAGACAAAAAGCCACCGTCCTAGGATTTTTTTGGCCACCACCTCCCACCCCACTTAAGGAAGTAGACTCTTTTCTATGCAGTCTTTGCAGAATGATGTGTGAGGTTGGAACTTCTTGTATCAGCATATGAAGTTTGAGAATGAAGCTAATACTCAGGGAGGCATGCCTGAGAGTTGGAGGAAAGTTAAACCACAGATGGGGAATATTTGAGCTCGGAGTCCAGCTATGGCTGAAGCAAGATCTTACCTTGTTTTTCAGTATTCAAGTATGAATCAGTAGTTTGCTTTGAAGCACCTTGAGTTGAAATTCTTGTCCATTGGAATTGAAAGACCCAAATAAATGATACAGGAATTAAACACTTTAACCATTTATTAACTTTTTGAGGGCATTTGGATATTGTAGAGCAAGACCTTTGATTAGATCCCAGTGTCCTGAAAGAGTTAGTTTGGAATTTTAAAAAGCTGGGAAAGTTGCATATTCTTTTTGCTCTACATGATAGAGGTTATAGAAGTGTCTGAACCTATTACTTCTTTTGGAAGACTACAAAAATGTCAAGATGGTAAAAATCTCTGGCCAAATGACATGTACTAAATTGGTTTATTTATTTATTTTTTTAGTTGGTGCCCCTTGCCCCTGCTTGGTGCCATTAGGGAATTTTAAGAACCTGGGTTTATTGTTTTACACTCCTTTCAAGAGAGCCTGCTCTGTTATCCATATGATATGTTGTCCGTATCATACATTCATCATTTCAATCATAAAAAAAAATTGAACATTTATGACATGGCTGTGGGAGTACAGTAATATTTTAAAAAGAAAAGCAAAGCAGGAAACTTCTCTGCCCTTCAGGGTACTCATGCGGGAATAGGAAGCCATACTCTTCTACAAGATTTTAGGAAACAGACAAGATTCATGAGTCCATACATGCTGAATGGCATTCATTTCTTTCTTCTTCTATCTTCCATGTACATAAACAAGCAAACCAAAAAATAGAAAACCTCTTTTACAGAATAAGATACTCAGTATTTTTAATGACTGTATTCTGGCATTTTCTTTAGCTAGATGTGACAGAGGCACAATTGAGTTTCCTGATGCTTTGGGAAGAACTGCTACTTCCAGTTCGTGGATGACGGGTACTTCCAGCCATCCATCTGAAAGTGCCAACTTTTCCTGGGAGATAGATCCCATAGCCCTATTTCAGAAATTTCTATCTGTGCACCTGGAAAATTTAGGCCAGTGTTTTAGCAGATCGATATGCCACCTATACCCTTTCTCTTTACTTGCCCAGCAGACAGGTAAAGATATAACAGATAGCTCTGTCAACCATTGCCCCTCTAGCCTTTCCTTCCTATCTTCTTTCTCTAACCCAAGAATATTAAGGCCAGGGAACAGTTTTTCCTCCAGACTGGTATTCCAATTTAGTGTAACAAGAGTTATAGACAATCGAGAACCTGTGACAGTGGGTGAGGCAGAGGTGAAGAAAACAATGTAGTGCAAGGCCTCACATTTCTGAAGCATCTCAAGTTAAATTATCTCCAGATGAGGTGATACTGTATTTTTGAATGTGACAAATGTGCTAGTTTATACTTTAAGGATATACCACAGTTTTTGTAACCACCTTTAGCTTATCTATTATTACTACTTACATACATACTGGGAACCTAAAAAAAAAAAAAGGAAGTTCAGGCTTCTGGCAACTTCTGAGAAGCTTTGAGACAATGTGACATATTTTTTGTTAGATGCATAGCTTCAAATGCAAAAGGAGGAGTCTGTAAATTAAGTATCTATAGAAACCATTAAGAAGAGAAAAAGAACAAATCTAAACACTTTTGTAAATTGAAATAATTATTGTATTTAGTGACTTTGAAATAAGGCTTTGAATCACAGTGATGTAGAGATTTTAAAATTTTTAATAGGTTAAAAATTATTTGTATATTTTGATAGGTCTTTGGCCTTCATCTAAATGCTTCTACGTGGAGGGTGATGGTTATAAAAGAATTTTGGGAAAGGTCATTTCTATTTTCAGAGTTGTCTTCTATTTTTCAATGTCTAAATTAAAGCAATATATTATTCTAACTAGTTTCTAAAAATGTAGGGGTTTATAAAGAACACATCAGTACTTCTGGTCTGAAATAGCTAGTAAGTGTATTACTTTTCTTGAAAAATATTCAGCTTGGATTTATAGTGTAGTAATTAGTGACACTGTTAAGCTGAAGATAATGGAGTGAAGATTTCAAAGAAAACATGTTTCTAGTTGGGAACTACTAACTCAGCTCAAGGAAGTGTACCCCAGTTCTACTGTCTTAAGAGATGTTAAAGTAAAAATAGATCAAAACCAAAAATCTCAGCAAAATGATTGGTTAGGAGGAAGCAAAGTGGAATCAGGTATTCGGCTTCTTGGAAACCACAGAAAAATCACTTTTACTGGCTTCCAAGTCTCGCTGCAAACATTGCCTCTGAAAAGTATATAAGGTTGAGTTAGTGGGATGAAGATTTCATTTTCTATAACACCGCTTTAAAGCTTCATAGACTAGGTTGGAGCAGTGGTTCTCAAACTTAAGTTTATATCAGAATCCTCTGGAGGGCTTACTAAATCACAGGTTGCTGGGCCCCATTCTCAGGTTATGATTTAGTAGAGGTGGGTGGGGCCTGAGAATTTGCATTTTTAACAAGTTCATACATGATACAGATGCTATTTACCTGAGACCACACTTTACGACCCTCTGGTTTAGAACATTATTGAGAACACTGGTTGTCTTATGTGGTCTGTAAGAATGAGCATTTATTATTATTATTATTATTAAAGATTTATTTACTTTAGAAAGAGAGTGTATGTCCAAGTGGCAGGGAGGAGCAGAGGGAGGTGGGAGAGAGAGAATCCTCAAGCAGACTCCCCACTGAGTGCAGAGCCTAATGTGGGGTTTGATCCCAGGACCCTGAGATCATGACTTGAGCTGAAATAAAGAGTCAGATGCTTAACTGACTGAGCCACCAGGGTGCCTCTGAACACTATTATTACATAAATTATTTAGTTTTCAAAAACAGTATCTGTTTTTATGTTAATCATAATAAATATATAATAACATCAGTATTTTAATTGATTCTCCATACAATCAGTTAAGTAAATTACCAAATAAAATAAATTTTTAAAGTAAAATAGCAAAATTTGGAAACAGGTAAATGGCTGCAACACTCTTAGGTCCTTGAGGGCTGCCTCCCTCACTGGTTCATTTTGTGTTTTCCACTGCCCTAGGTCTAGGGTCTGCACAACTGTGGTCATTTAAAATACACTAAGGAAGAGAAAAAAATTTTCTTAGCCTAGTAGGTAATGTTTTACACTGTCCCCGAGAAAGGAAATCATTTTATTTTATCCTGTCATTAAATGTTTTTTATTCTTGAGCCAAAGAGTTCCTCTACTCATTATTTTCTATCAGTTCTGTGTAATTTCAAATGCTTTGTCCTCAAAAAATAGTTTTTTTCTCTTTGAGCAACTAGTTTAAGTTCTTAGGTGCGAGGCATAATGTCTGCAGAGTTAATTACAAGCGTAGGGTGATGACTGGCAGTATAAACGTACTCGTATCTATAGGTTTAGCATACATTGTTGAAATAACTGTTGTTTTGTTCCACCTTATATGGGGAAATACAAGTAATCATCAGATTGTAGAACATGCTCTGTTGAGTCTTCGAAGCTATTCTTAATATTCAGGCAGGACCAAACTTCATTAAGGTGTTTCTTTGAACTTGCTTGCAACATTAAAACATCGTTTTATAGTTTGGCCTCATGCCATGTAGTACCAGACAGATTCATTGTGAGAATAAAGTGAGTGATTCTGTTCTCAAATTGTGTGAAAACAGGCTTCATAAAGAACTCAGAATATATTCCCTTCCATCTCAGTATGCTACTTCTCCATTATATCTGATCCTTGGATTTCAAGAGGTTGAAGAAAATAATAAATATTCAAGGAGTAAGAGGTGTATGAGTTAATTTTGTTTTGTTCCTCTGAAAGTATGTCTTTGAAATAGTGATATGAGAAGTTGTTAGAGAAAAAAGAAATAGCAGAGAAAATTGAGATGCCCTGTACCTTATGGATTGACAAATCCAATATTCTTAGGCTGGAGGCTTTTTGACTGACTTCTCCACCAAACATTGGAATTAGAGAACTGTGAGTATAAAAAATGAAAATTTAATTTGTAAAGGGAAAATTTATGCATACATTTTTTTCCCCCCTCAGACAAGAACAAGTGCCCTCAGTGGTATAGAAGAAATGGAAATGGAAACTCTGCTCATCTGGCATTAAATTTAAGTGTTTCTCAGCATCTTTGGCATTTGGAGCAAAAAGGTAATAGATGCTCTCATTCAGTTTTCTTAAAATCAAACTTCAAATCAAACATATAGATGAATGAAATTACAGGAACTTACTGGTTAAGTTCAAAGTATTTTTATCCAAAGTCTCATTTTAATTACTGGGATTCATGATCATTTTATTTTTCTTCTGTAGGATACAGTGCAGCCTTCTGACAAAGACAAATAAGTATTACTTGGACAAATGAATCCAAATCTGAAAATGTTCTTTTTTCTTTTTTAAAGATTTTATTTGTTTATTTGACAGAGAGGGAGATCACAAGTAGGCAGAGAGGCAGGCAGAGAGAAAGGGGGAAGCAGGCTCCCCGCTGAGCAGAGAGCCCGATGCGGGGCTCCATCCCAGGACCCTGGGATTATGACCTTAGCCGAAGGCATAGGCTTAACCTACTGAGCCACTCAGGTGCCCCTGAAAATGTTCTTTTTTCTTAAGCCATTTATGTAAAGTATAAGAATTAACTTTTGAAAGATTCCGTTGGTGATTGTGCCTGTAGTTTTATATTTCAATTATATGTTTAGAACTTAAAATGTAATAGCTTTGTATTTACACACAAAAAAAATTTTTAAACTTGGTTAAAGGGCTTGGGGTGGTAACAGAAATATTTTTCATTCAAGCTTCACTTCTCTGGGAGCATCAGTTTTCTGGCTCTTAAGAATCTTAACTGTAAGTCAATATTGAAAACTATTGTTTTTCAGTATAAGATAGAATTTAAACCAAACAAAGCCAGGAAAAACATATCAATTCAATTTGTAATACTTTACACAAATAATAGACTATATATTATCATTCCTTTACATCAGACTTGATCATTTTATGTATGTATCCATCTGTGTCTGTTTTACAAATCCTTTACCTAAGAACTTAGCCATTTGACAAGTAATAATAATAGAATCTCTGCATAGTAATAGCAACAGAGATGCCAATGAGACAGAAAACACAAGCACTTTTTACACCTTGGGGCTTTGTATATGCTGTGTCATGTAATCTGTATGAGAGCTCAACAACATTATAATTGTGTAGAAGTAGAAAACCAGGTTTAGGAAGTATAAATCATGTTCCAGAGTCTATCCACTGATGGTGGATGACCTTTAAAGCTGGTTGGTTGTAGGGTGGGAGGAGAGAAAAAAGAAAAAAAAAAATGATGATAGGCAGAGATTTAATTCCAAAACTCATGCTCATTTCATTATATTGTGATGCTTTCCCAATGAATTCGTTATGTTTAGACCATCAACAAGTATATATGGGGTATCTATGTACGTGTATATAATGTGCTGCAGAAATATAGTAGTGAGCTAGACCCTGACATCCTGATTTTCACATTATTATTACACAGCTATTATTTCACACTTAATTTAATTACATTACTTATAATTATCACTTACTATTATAAGTCCACAATGAAACATACTGGATAATCAGAGTAAATATCAAACAACCTGACTGAGTCTGGGGAGGAGTGAGGGCATGTAAAGGATCAGAGAAACTTACCTCTGAGACTGATCTTTAGTGACTCATGACACTTGGCCCAATTTCTTTCTTTAGTTCTCCAGAAACAAAACAAAACAAAAAACCCCACAGCCACAGCCATAGTGGGTCTAGGGTACTAGAGAGTGAAGGGTGGAGAGTGTATGTGAAAGAGTTTAATTTTAATAGCCTAGCAATAACCTGTTTTGGAAAGATCTCAGTGTTTGCAACCATCACATTTCTGAAGGACTGGATTCACTTTGTAACTAATAATTTTCTTGACTTAACAAATTCTCTTTGGAGTCACTTATTCAAATGTTAAAGCTCTTCTAGTGGGACAGGACCCTTTAGTAAACTGCTATCTCTGTCTGGCCTGCCTTCCCTTTTTCTCTTTTCTCCTTCTTTTCATCAGTCCTTTTAGTTGAGGCTATTTCAAACACAGCAAAGGGACCAAAACAAGAATTTGTCAATTATCTGATATTTCCATATTTCTGGAACTTAACCAGCATCTCATCTAGCTTTTGTTTAAATGCTTAATATCTTGCATTTTTGTTCTTCAGTGAAATTGATTTCCTGACATTATGGTGTAGTAGAATCTATGTAGTGGTATATGACCTGTGCATTAGGTTGGCCTGTGCCATTTGCCAGTTACTGAATTTTGAGCCAGTCACTCAACTTGACCTGCTAAGTGAGAGGAATGGACACTCTTTGAGAAAACTGAGAATAAAATACAATATGTGAGAAAGTCCTATGGAGATGGCAAAAGGTTATACAGATATATACTTTTTTAAAATGAGGTTATCTGGTTAATGGTGTTTATAGGAATGAAAGCTGTAAGACTGTCTTGAATTAATTTACCTGAGAACTAAATCTTGGGGTACTAGTAAATTGAGCATGATTTTCTATTCAAACACTTTTCATCCTTTAACAGAATTTAATTTCTATTCTAATAATCAAACTACAAATTATAATCAGAGAATGTCATCTGACTATTTACTAATCTGTGCCAGATGCTGTCTTGTTCCTTATTTCACTGGATTGCTGCAGAAGTTCTGACTGGAAGTTCTCTGATTGGAAGGTAGTCTGCTAGTTGTCTCCCAAAATTCACTCTCTCCTTCTTCCACAATAATCACATTGGTATTAGGACACATGGCAATCTGGGAGGAAAAGGTCTGCATCTTCCAGCTAGATGTCGTTCAGCTTTAGCTAATGGAACACAAGAGGGAAGATTGTGTAATTATGTCTGAGAAGCTTCCTGTAGTAGACAGACATGAGAGAAGCCCTTATTATCTTTGTCTCCTGTTGCTCAGGAGACCTCTCCCTGTATCCTCTCCCTCGCTGTGAGAGCGGGCAGGATCAGTGATGTGTTATAAACCAATAAAATATGACAAAGGTGGCAGGATGTTATTCTCATGTGCAGGTGATGTCCTGAGTCGACTTAGAAATGGATTCTTCCCCACTTTGCCCCCAGATGAGAATGCAGTTCAGCCAATATCTTCGTAACAGCAGTGTGTAGCCCTAAGCAAAGGAACTACAAGGCTGTGTCTGTATTCCTGACCCACAGAAACTGTAAGATAATAAGTATCTGTGTTTAAGGTGGTAAGTTGATGGTAATTTGTATGGAATAGATGAATAATACACTCCTTCAGAGACCGCCGACACCAACTCTTTGCCCTCTTTTTTTTCTTCATGTCCTTCTTCATTGTATTGCCTAAAACTCAGCTACAACTTTACTGGGCCAAGAGGTTGAGGGCCACACTTTTGGGATGGTGGAGCCTTGAATTAGACAAGGTTTATGTTCCTTGCAGGGAGGAGGGATATTTATGTGAGCATAACCATTTATCTTGTTTGGGCCATTATTTTGTCTTTTCTACTTTTTTATCATTTAATGCTGAAGTTTTCCAAATAATTCTCTAAGTATGACTAACTGGTATTTGTTTCATTTTACTCTTTACTACTGTAAGAATTCAAGTTTAATTATACAGAAGAAGAATTATCATTTATTACTTTACACACAGAGACCCTAACCATTAGCATTTGATGTGTTTCTCTTTAGTATTTTAATCTAATGTTTTGTAAAAGAAGACCTGTATAGCAAATATTTGTGACATTTAAATATCATGACTTCTCTGTCATTAAGATTAAAGTGTACTGAAATTACTTTAAAACATCTGTTTGCAATGTAAAAAATCCAATCAAATAAGCATGTGACATGAAAGAGAAAATATCCTATCCACTTTTCTCATTAAATTTAAGCTTTTATTTTTTTAAAAAGTCAACTTAGGCCATCTATTTTTGTGTTCAGAAATGTCATCTCGATAACTAAACATATAGGTTGGATTCCCAGTCTTTGGCTGTTGATATAGAAGTTTATTTTGGGTACCTAAACTATCTAGATTTTTTTTTGTTTCATTCACTGATGAATCTCAGATCATTGCTTAACTTCAGGCATATATAAGTTGTGTTTTTGCTAATCTTTTCACAGGCTTTATATAGTTCCCTCCTCCACACCTTTACTCAACTCTCCAGCTGTACTGATATCACCTGCTTTGCACTTCACCTAAATGGACCTTTCCTATACAGTTCAGTTGAACCCTGAACTTCTTAATGGAGTCTCTCTTAGAGCAGGTTAGACCTCTATGATTTCTCCATCCCCCAACCCAGATCATTCCCTCTCCACACCAATCAGATAACATTAAGAACCTGCTACTTTCTTATAATAAGACTTTCTTATTGCCACTTATGCTTTGCTGGTCTGCACAGAGTAGAGATTTAGTAACATTTTTGTTGGACAGTTAGCCGATAAATAATTTAGTAACAGTTTTTTTTGACAGTTAGCCGATAAATCTCTACTCACAGAGTAGAGATTTAGTAACTTTTTTGTTGGATAGTTAACCCAAACACTATTAACAGCTGTATTTTCCATTTATTAAATAAATAATTATCATCTTTTTAAAAAAGATTTTATTTATTTATTTATTTATTTAGAGAAAGAACATGAGTGGGGGAGGGGCAGAGGGAGAGGGGGAGAGGGAGAGAATCTCAAGCAGATTCCGTGCTGAACTTGGAGTCCGATGTGGGGCTCCATCCCACAACCCTGAGATCATGCCCTAAGCCAAAATCAAGAGTTGGACACCCGACTGACTGAGCAACCCAGGTGCCCTACATAGGATCATTTTCAATGAGAGGTCTATGAACTTACTTCATACATGGGAAAAATTTAAGAACAATATATGAAATGAGGAAACAAGCCAAAATTTTGGAATTTTATAGCAACCTCACTTTCTGAACTGAAGTCATGTTAAGAAGGTATGGCTTGGTTCTGGTCATTGTGTTTCATGTACACTGTCCTTGATGTGAGCAAATCTATTCATGTACTCTTGTTTCCTTTGGAAATGAGGAAAACTCAATACAACGATGTGAGGAGTACAACATGACATTTAAAAAAAATGATAACTTATCAAGACTCTCCAATTCAAGATGAAAGTGTCAATTAACACTCAGAAGCTTTCATG